GATCAAAGACTATGAGTGCGACACTGAAACTTTAGAGAAATTAATTAAAAGGCTCTATAACTTTGAACAAATTTTTATAAATAAATATTTTTAATGAAATTATTAGTCTCTAAATTTGTTTATATAAACAATACAGATAAGTATTTGTTGAAAACAGATGGACTGTTACATTGCGTTTTATCTATATTTGGTATATATTTAGGTAATATTGAATGTGTTCGTAACTTCAATGGCAAAGTTGCCGTTGCTATTTGTATTGACCGCACTCGCTCTTCTAATGAAAGCCGCATATCCGGGATTAATATTAATGGAATAAACAATGTGCCAACTTGTCGTGGAGTTGAGATGTGACCGACGACCCTTCCGCGCTCTATCACACTTTATTAAATAACCTTTTTGATATATTTAATAAAATTACATCTACGTTTGTAATCTCGTTTGCAATGCGTTTTTTGAAACATAAGAAATATTTTTTTGTGCGATATAAATTCAGAATGCTTTTTTTTTTTAGGAATTTTGATTATGTCGCAATAATACTTCCTAGATAACCAGATTAACTTGTATATTCTACAGCAAAACTGTCTCAATGATATAGGCAGTTTAATATTATAGCATATTAAAGCACTACAAGTGGTCTCCAATTATTTTTTTCCTATAAATAATTCAAGAGGCTTTAGTCTTTTTCATATTCATAATAATACAAAGGTTAGCATATGTACACAATGCGTGTACGTCTATTACCAATAATAAGGATTCTTTTCATATCAAACTTCAAAAACATTTTTATTGCTTATCAAGGAGGATTTATTTTTAATGAGGGAGAGAGATGCCTCCCTGAGGGTGCCGCCATTGTGAATATTATATGAGCAAATACGAACTAAACACATACGGGTAAGTACCTGTATAAATACTCAGTGTATATACACGACATGTACAGTCGAGGATATTTATTTCCTACCCAATTCTGTGAAATATCATTTGATGTTCGCCAAGCATTTAAATTATGATGCCATTGTTTTATCGTGACATTTTGCTGTAATTTGATACAAAGTGGGAAGAGTATATAATTCTTTGGCTACACGTAGGTTAGTACTGCGTGTAAAGTGACTCGTGAATACATAACATGTATCAATAACTATTCATATCACTGTCGATTAGACAGCTTACGAAATTGACTTCAATATAGATATTGATTCGTCGACATCGCTTGTGGCGAACATTGGCTTGTGTAACAGATACGAACAATAGTTATAGGATATTGACATTTCTCACAACTATATCCATATATAACAAACAAAACTTAAACCAATTTTTTATAACACCATCTATAATACTCCGAGAAAGAATACTATACAAATGACACGTCATACTTTGAAATCACAGAAAGAAACATAAGTCTGCATACCTACCTACCTATGCGAAAATGGCATCTTATCAGTTTAGTACTACTAGGTATCAAAAATACTTTTGGAATTTACATCGTCTTTTCTTTGACACTTACTAAGATGTTCTGATATTGATATATACATATAAATTATTTCATTCAATGAAAATTAATTGAAATAGAAAATGAACATCATTTATTATGAATAAATATTTATTCCGTCCGACAGTGGAGACATAGCGCAGTGTCAATTATCAAGCTGTGTATATTCTGAGCAACTTACTTTGATCACTATCTTGCGGTATCGCTTTGACGCCGGTATCGAATGCTTTGCTTTCAATGATAAATTGCACCCTCTTCACTTCACTATATCTAGACAATTATTTAACTCTCTTATACATCTATTTAATACATAAAGCAATATATTTATTGCATAGTATTATTAAAATCAGTTCATTCAGTCTTTGGTTTTTATATTTGAAATTTTCAAAATACTTTTATTAACGATTCTAAAACGAATCCCACAGATATTATAACGTCTAGAAATATAAATGTTTAACATACAAGCGGAGCTTGCATTCTTGAATTGAGTTCTTTGTATGCGGTCGCAGACGAGTACGACATGCAGAAATTATCGAGTCTCCGGTCGAAGCAGATTTGAGCACACAATCATAGGTCTGTGAGTTACAACTATATCTATGCAATATAGTAAACAGCTCTTGGCTCTTACAATATAATAATTTTAAATTACATTGAAAACAGAATAAACGTAAATCAAACAGGAATAACATACTTGATTGAATAAATCATCCCTGTCCTTTTCCATAAGAAATGTCAGCTCTGTATATACTAATCGTAGTCGCGTGGCCTAATAAATATACAGACCAAAATATAGCTATTATGAAATATTTCGTTTTTGTAAAAGAATTCGATTAAAAGCTTGCATAGTAGAACGTATAATATAAACTAGATGACATAACATGCCACCTAGGACAAAACAACTCTTGTATTGTGTTTGTGTGAATAGGTTCGGGCGGGTTTCGCGCTTTCAAAATAACAGCGGACGCGAGTTAGCCCGAATCTAAACTAATATTATTAAGGGATAAAGTTTGTTTGTTTATTTGTAGTGTATAAGTTGTGAAACTGTCGAGTGAGTTTAAGTTGTTATTTTACTTTTAGAAAGCTTAAATCACAATAAGAAATAGTGAATTACAGTATTGCATTAATAATAAGATTTTAATCAGAATCCATGATAATTCAGAGCTAGAAAGTAGCACTGAACTTATTTATTCCTGTAGAATCATTCTTTAAAGCGATCCGAGACATATTAAACATGTTACAATAGAACTTGATCAAGCAAAGTTGACAATTTTTTTCAAACTCCTTGAATCCTTCAAGGTTGCGGGAGTGCACTGGATGCGGACGGCACAGGACCGGGCATTGTGGCAATAGATGGGGGAGGCCTACGTTCAACAGTAGACGAATTGGGGCTGAATATGATGATGATGAATCACATTATAAAAGATAGCAGATATTTGATAGAGATTAGTTAGTATGCATTTCTTTTTAATAATACGTCTAAAATAAAAAAAAAGTTACGATAATAACTTAGTACCTGTTAAAAGGTTTATTCTTTCTTAAGAAAATAATTTATGATCTAAATAAATATACCGCCTACGCAGACAAAACCTTACAAGGCGGAGGCATAATTATTGCATTAATGAGAATTGAGTATAACAATCTTCAAATAATGCGGTCTGCGGGTCGCCGCTATAACTCAGAGGCAACGGGGCTTCATAACTATTATAACATAGCTTTATATATATGAAACACAAGCGAGAAAACTATCAAGTTTTTCGTTTATAATATCCAATTTTTTTATGAAGAGAAATAATACCATATCATATTTGAAAGGTCTTCGATTGCAAATGAAGCTGACAGTCCTTTGTTAGATATTCGAAAAAGGTTTTTTATATTTTTGAATTAACTTTATTTGAATAAATATGGTAATTTTGAAAAAATATTTTTGGCTTTGTAATTTACAATATTTTTTTGTACAATGATGAGTTCAATCCGGTTTAGTAGATAATTTTATTGTTATTTAAAACTCGAATATAAGTTGAATTTATGCGCGACATATTGGGCTCAACAAGTAGTGTAATATAAAATGTTTGAAGGTGGATTAGGTGCGGGAGACGTATTTGTTTTCAAAAGTGCATATTCCTCTTACGGGCTGCGGACGGAAAAGAGGGTTTCAAAACGAGGTCATTAGTTTGCAAGTGTGACATGAAATTTACCATGTAAGTAATAGTTATAGCGGTAATACAGAAAATTAAAAGAACATAAATCTTGTAATTATCGGCTTACAATATCTTGTTATACGAGTATATATAACAATTATAAAATAATAAGTCGTGTAATATCAACAACATTGTATAAATATTGATTAACTCTGAACCAATCATTCGTATAAATGATAAATATTATATCGTAAAGTCGTCGGCGACTAGTAGTTATTATTTTTTGTTTTTTTTTTCACTTCTTTATGCCATTATTGCTTGGTATAATTTAAACATTTTAAGAAATTTTACTAAGAAATAAAATTCTATAATAATTTATTTGGCTGTTTAGGAAACGTTTTAGGTTATGTATAAAATTTACGTGTAACAATGTTACCATACTTCTCCAATTCGGCTTGACCCATTTTTTGAAATTTTGAGAATCGGAGTCGCGAGCGATAGCTAGTAATATAAAGATAGATATTGCCAATTGAAGCCTGTAAAATAGCAGGTAGGCTGATAAAATTAAACATGTTTCCGTCAGTCATTAGGAAAATATTTAATTACTAGATAAGACTTAAGTCGTCCCCGAAAATGCTAACAACGGAGATTGAAAGGATGAAAACTTTAGATCCCTTGAAAACAGACCGAATACTATTTAAAATGATATTATTGCAAAGTGACGTCGATATGTGTCAGATCAATAATTAAAAATATAATTGGTTATCGCTGTTTTCGCTAGTTCATGAAAAATATGTTTAGTTTCAAGTTTTCGATAACGAATCAAATACGACAACGTTTTTATATTAAATTGCTTAGAGAAAAAAACTACAATTAAGCTTTTCTACTTGTTCTACAAAGTTGTTTCCAAGTTTTGTAAGTCTCTATTATGAAATAAAAAATACATTAAATGTAGTTAAAGCTTATTTTACACATTATTCTAACGATTATATTTATATTGAAATTGATATTAGATCGTAGTACGTAAGAAACTAAGAAAGTATCAAAGTTTGTTTACTAACGATACAATATGAACCTTCAGCAAAAGTAGATGTTGTTATATAAAAATTCCAAGGATATACTCTCCTAAATATTTTATAAAGACTTGGAACAATCACAATTAAAAACTGTGTATTATTTGCACAAGCATTTCGCAAGGAAAATATAAAATCAATGTTACTTGGCATCCTCAAGACATTCTGTTCCTCGACGAATTTAAATCACACCATTCTCCATTTCTCTTTTAAAAAATTGTATTTATACTCAAAAAATTACAAGTATATTTTTAAAATTAATTATGAATTTTTGTACTTATGAATTATGTGGGAAAAAATTACCTTGCTGGTTGCGTTCGTTGTCGGGAACGGCGGGCATGTGGTCGACGTGTTATCGCCACCGGTTGCGCGCGGGTACTGTGACTGTGCGGTGCGACGCTCGACTGTGCGACCGACGTGCGACTGCGAGCGATCTCCTCTCCTCTGGTCTAGAGTAGTGTAGGCAGCAGGCAGCAGGCAGTGGAAACGCGATGCGCGACGCCGATGCGACGCAAGCCAGGCCGACCGCTACCCGCTCTAGGCGCGCTCCGGGATTTTGACCCGCTAGTGTTGGACTCCCGATAAAAACCTCACATCTGACCTATTTATCGACGATGCTTATCTCCTATTTTATGAATACACAACTTTTATTGTATTTTACAAGATACAAATGAAATCTCTACAATGTAACATTTATTATTTTTACTTGTGAGCTATCCATTTAGTAGGAATTCGATTTAAGTGAACGTGCTTTGAGGATCAACGTTTTACCCGCTTCCTTTATTTAGTTTCTTCAGTTGGCTCAAGGAATGTGGTTCCTGGAAAACATAACGGGAGCTCATCCCTACGGGCGACGCATGCGTGAAAGTCGCCTAAAAGATTGCCGGGTAGACTTACCACGTTGATTGATTCACGAAGTTGTGCGCAGGTTAACTCACCCGGCACGTGCCTTAAGTATCGTATTGCCAACCACAAAAGACCTGCCCGCCCCCCTCGGTCCCTTTAAATCTCGACCAGATGGGGATTCCTGAACAAAAAACAAAGTTCAACATACGCTGGTCTCCTTTATCCGGGGATTTGGTGCGAGCGCGCCATTTGTTTTGAGAATGGAATCGCAACTCGAGCCTCGAACGTTTTAGCGATACACCATGCATACAAATACTAATATCACTTTATTATTTTAACAATTTTATTACAGTTCCAATGAAAATAAGTGGAACACGTTTCATAATTTTATTAAAATATTATTAAATAACAAGATGAACTCATGAAAAATGTATTGGCAATATGTAATAAATGAATATTATACTAGAATATGTTACATACAAATACGATCAAATCGCCAGAAAGAAACAACATATGAAAAAATATATCAGTAATAATCAATGAACTTCTGTATAGAGCCGAGCGTAATGTTCATCACTAAAGCTGTTATAATTTTCATCAGTAAAGTTTATTGCAATTTTTCGTTCAATATAATATTAAATTCTTAAAGGTCTTATTTTAGTTTAAAATAGTGTTTATTCGGACATTGTGAGTACTTGCTGATCATTGTAACGACGCAACAGACTATCGTAAGAGGATTATGTTCAGACGAGGCTTTGATCTGAAACAGGAATCCAATGCTGTTATCTCTCACTCACAGCGTTCCTACAACTAACGTTACACAGAAGGACTAAAAAAGGAACAAACTGTGGAAATTCTCTATTATATTATGAAACCGTCAGCCACCGCTTCTACATATGTATGTATTATCCTTCATCCTATTTTAATTAATCAAAGGCAAATTTTTTGAATGAGTCTCCACATCAACCATTATCAATTAAATAATTAATCTATCTTACTTTGCAGATATATTCGTTTAAAGTTCCAAAAAAACAGTATCCTTAGCAAGAGTGGGCTTTATAAGATTACCATTTTTAGATATATTTGAACAATAGTCTTGGGTGGACTGATAATTACGATGTCGCAAATTGTTAGGCATTTTAAAGTAAAAATTTCAGCATTACTGGCGCACTGCTATTTGTAAAGTATATTTTCATAGAGGAGACCTTACAATTGAAGCGATATGAACTGGAATTTCGGGACACCTTCGTTCTATATGAACCGAGGATTTTGAAAGAGTAAGTAATTGGGGAATGTGATGTCGAAAATAATACTGATACAGGTTAATATTAATGATAGATATAAAAGAAACACCTTCAGAGTAATGATAAAGTTTTATAAAATATTGCCGTAATGTGTACAAGAGAAGGCGTTTCGTCTGGAATACTAAATTATTTTCTTTGATCTCACGATGATGTCTTTTATAAAGTAAATATAAGATGTCCTTTAAACAGAGACACAACATTATTAAATTCTGTATAAACATTAAGTGCCTTGTTTTGTGAATCTTCTTCAGCAAAACAAACCGTTCGGGGTATTTTCATTAACTAATTACTAAGACAGAATTTAACTTAATAAATTATTATTATGAAATAGTTTCAAGTAAATATCAAAATTAATTGTTAACTTGAATATTAGAGGTCATGTCATTGTTTGACCTAGTCAGTATTATCTTTCATAATAATTACAGCACGTATTATTAATTAATAAAGATCAATATTGTATATTATTGTAAAGATACGTCACGATCCATTTAACATCGTAAGCTAATAACAAACGTCCATCCATCATCGCAAAACTACTCTATTTTGTTTCGTACAATCGATATAATACGAATGGATGTATGTATAAATACATACATATGGAGTCTAACACAACAATATGTATCAATACATGCGCCATGGCAGTGGAAACTCACAGTAGCAAGTTAAAGTTAACGCGCGTCTAATCTGACATGTAATTTCTTACCTTCTTCATAGTTATTGACAGTTACCTTTTGGTTAAAACTGTCATACCTTCATTTCCCTTTCAATCAATCCATTGGTAAAACTAGAATTGTAGTTTTCAATATGTAAGTTAATATCCTTGGGGAATATTATTTGATCAGCAGAAGTAGGAAAACGGGATATCCTCAAAGGATAACACGGTAGAAAGTTTCATTACTAAATACTTAAATATTGACTGAAGACCAATCCAAATCAATTCCACCGACTGCACACAAGCATTTGAAATCCTGATCGTAATTCAACCATTACATAAATTCAAATAATATTAGACATGATGTATGGAATGAATAAATCAAAATTTAAAGTGAGCTGAGCGGAGGTATGTTAGAAGATATAAATTATAGGATTCATTAGACGACGCCCGCTGACCCAGCCCCGGAGCGAGGAACTTGAATCCTATCGATCAAGGGAACGCGCCCCTGGGGCTTACTTCACCGTGTTCAGCACAAATCGTTCTTATAAAGCGAGAAACGAACAGTTCCTTTTTTGCAATTGTTGCAATGTAACCTACATTTTTTGGATAATAAACGAATAAGGCCAACATAAAAAATAACGGATAAACCAGCTGTTCGACCTCGTGGAATTAAAAAAAAACCTAGGCATTTACACATTACACATCTAATCATATCAGTTTTAAATTTCATACAGATCTGTTAAGCGGTTGTGTTACGTTGCAACAAACATCCGTCTATGCAAATTTTCGCATTTATAATAATGGAAGAGTAAGATTTATGTCATAAATTAAAGTTTCACACGAATTGTCTCCGACAGACAATACAGTCGGTCGGCGGAGGTTTGTTCTAATTAAGCCGTGTGAACGTAAACATTGATCCGCACTTTAGTCGCCTCAACAAGAATATTAACATTTTGTTTGAAAAACGGAAAACACAAAAGCGGCCACTCTCTCTATGAGACTGACTGGATGAGACTGACAATGGACAACGTTAAAAAGTCTAATTAGTTAAGGCGATGCCACATAATAAAAGACAATATTATTATAGTAGTAAATAATTATATTAACTTAAGATCCAGGTCAGTCACCGAAGGTCCTGAATAAGGTCTGCATTCACATTGTGACAATGTTCAGCTGCTGAGCGGCAT